TTTCGGTTCTTTTTCGGTTCTTGGTCTAGACCCGAGACCCGACCCAAACTCATCGGTTCTCGATTCGGGTACCCGTTCGGGTATTTAATTTATGAAGAACCGCTCGACTCGGTTCGGTTCGGGTTCTGTTCGGGACTTTTGGACACCCCTAAGGCGTATACTGTAAATTAGGTAGATTTTTTTATTGATATAGTACGTGTATGATTTATATTATTGTGCGGTACTGGATGAATAATAGGGGAGGCACCAATATTGAGAATTCTCATTTGATATTTCTGAAGTATATTCAAATTTGAAGTGTGTTTCAACGTTTTATTATATTTTTATAGGTTTTGAAGTTTCTCCAGAGAGAATATATATTTCTTGGACCATGTTTTCAAATCCTTAGGTTTTTCTGATAATTGCAAAACCAACATACATTTGAGAAGCCTGTCAAAATATACAATTTAGAAGAAATGCTTGCAATATACGAACTCTCTCAAGTTATGCCAGAAACCAATGTTGATGTTGTGGGATCTACAAAACAGCGTGCTCCTTTCTTGGATCCAAAGACCGTGAGTTAGCATCTTCTGGAAACGATATATGAGTGTACATATTTCCCACATTTAGTTTAGCTGTATCAAAGGTAATACTTAAGTTTCATTGCTATAAGTTAATTCAATTTACATATGGTATTGTATATTTCAAGCTGCTTCTATTAAATTGTGCTCAAATTATGTTAATTTCTAAACGTTGCATGGACATGGTAGTTGCTGGAAATCTTTCTTCTCCTAATCCAAATTATAAATACGATTATTTTCGATATAAAATGTGATTACTACTTATAATTTGGTATACCAACTGCGCCCTTAATCGATGTTCAACGAAATCAACTTTTGCTTTCATCTTTGGTACAGTTCAAAAGATCTTGATCACTTGTACAACCGTCTAACAAATATCTTATCAAATCTATCCCAACATAACCATTATCAATACATACACTTGACGTAGAGTCGTGCAACGCACGTCCGACACTAGTATATCTAAAAGACTCATCTTTAAAGACACTATTCACAAGCTGAACGACCAAGCAAGCCGCCATTTTCGAGCCGAACCGTTTTTGAGCCTAGCTGGTTAGATATTTTCCTATTTTCTCTCCTCCTAACCCTTGCTCTCGCTCTCTCTTCTCTCGA